AGGGGGAGTGACAAGCCAGGTGAACCTCTGAGCCATTGTCATCCAGGCTGCGATGCGAGACAAGGCTGAGAGCAGACGAGGCAAACAGGTTGAGGGTGATGTCAGACACCTGCAGAGGGAGCTCCTCGTCTCCTGAGGCAGGTCTGTCCATCCGGCCTCTGAGATGCTGTACGTCAGCGGCGCAACTTATTGTTCGCTGCAGTCGCCTGGAACGCATGGTGGTGAGCTCGGTTGGAGAGCGACGTCACCATCTGGTCATGCCTCCCCGGAGGCGCAGGACGCTGGTCCAACCTGGACATCTTTGCTCCGAGAGCCTCCGCCAAGCTTGGATCCAGGGGGGGCACAGAGGGAATTTCCACTCGGTAAAAACCCCTCCACTCTGGTGATGGGCGCGGCTGTGGAAACCGGCGCTCTCAGTCTACCAGGTCTGGCTGCAGCCTCATTCCAGTAGGACGTCACTGCTGGGAAACTAGGTCAGATGGGATCAGGATAGCGAGCCGGGGTGGAGCCAAAGACCTTCCCGCCAGATCATCCGATCTGGGCGGGGGAAGGAGAGGGATGGAAAAAAGTCCCTTCATGTCAGCCGCCTCCTGGATTATGCCGGGCAGCTCCGATAGGAGGGCACCGACGGCAGGGAGCGGTATGGTCGTTGATGCAAAAAAGGTCTGGGGGGTGAGCATCCGCTCAGCCCCCCTTGTTCCGACACTACGCTCTCCAGGAGGGAGTGAGCAGCGGGGGCTGCTGCTGACATCGCCTGTCCCAGAGGAACCATTTGATTCGCTCCGAGAATCGGCGATAAAAGTAAAAAGGGGTCGATGGCGTCGTCCAGCGTGTAGCGACTCGCCACTGAGAAATATTCCTCGGCGCTTACATTGAAACAAGGCTGCTCGTCTGCTTCTCCTTGGGGAGGAGAACTCACCGGGATGGCAGGAGGTTGGCGTGGCAGGACCCCATGCAGCCTTAACAAAGGTTGTGCTGGTCAAGCTGGACAACTTCCCTTCTTCGTTCTTCTGACAGTGCTATTAACTTGCTGAAGAAAAATGGGAGCCGATTACCCGCTCTTAACGTAATTTATATGGACCGGGTGGGACCCAAACAACAGGTGGGCGTGGACTAAATTTTTTCAGTGCAATGCTTTGCATGACTGGATAAAACCCACCAGCGACAGCTCTTAAAGGGCAAAGCCTATACGAAATAAAACAATGAAATGCTAAATCAGATCAAATGGCTGTGTTAAATAGGAAAAATGACTGTGTTAAATAGGAAAAATAACAAAAAGTGTATACATGATCAGAATCAACGAATAACTAAATCTAAATCTAATCACCCTGTGGTAAATGTCAATGACTACAACTCTCTCTAGTTTGGTCTGCTGTACAAATTACTCCGTAAAATTCAAATGGTTCAAAATTCAGCTGCCCGCATCGTTACCAAACCCCCTCATTTCAGAATCAGAAGAATCAGAATCAGAATAAACTTTATTGGCATTGCACGAGATACAACGCAAATATGTACGTACAGTCGTCCGAAGATGGGCGGAGTGCACGAAGCTGCGGCTAAAATAATTAGCGCAGCCTTCTTATTCTTATTCAGAATAATATTTTGCTTAGATAAGAAAAGGAAAGAAAACACGAGGAGAGACGGTATTAAAAAACGATCTCTCACACCGTGTCCTAGACAGGACACGATTTGAGGCATCAAAAAACCTACCACAGCAAAGCAACATAAACAGACGTTATACATTTACATATAGGTGGTGAAAACATTGAATTTTTAAGGGAAAGTCGTAGCATAGTCCAGAGCCCCCCCTCAGCCATTGTCCAGATAAGAGGTGACGTTCATCTTCAGCTCAGTTGAGGTTCTGTCACATGTCCATGTCCTTGGGGAAGGGAGGGGTGAACAAACAGTCAAAGCATCTTTGTTGTTTTCTGAACATTCCAGGAGGAGTTGAGATAAGTCCGGCATCAAGGCCACAGTTTGGGTCAGGCAGAACTCGTAATTGTTGTTTCTGCCTTTAAAGTCTCGCTGGTACATATTCTCTGACGGAAACTCCAAAACAGCCGAATTGATCCTTTACTCCAAAAGTTGAGCTCAAAGCTTCTCCAGATTATTCCACCATTCATGAGCACTGCCAGGGAGAACACAGTCCTGAAAACAGCTGCTCCAATCCCCTGTCACAGCTCCACATTCAACTAATGGAAAGCGGAAAGCTTTTTTAATTAGTTCTAGACCAACGTGTTTGTGAACCAAGGTTTCGTAGAAAGCTCGGTTAATTGCTGATTTATCTGTCCACAGAGACAGAACAGCATCGTTGGTGTGGGACCCTTGGATCTCTACACCCTTAACTACCAGTGGTAGGTAGTGTTTGGTGGACTCTGACTGCTGCAGCTCACAGAGGAGGCTGTCTTGTTGAGTCAGAGTTTGGACCACTTGGTGGGTCTCTTTGGTTTCACATGGTGTCAGAGGAGTACTCACCGGGCTCGTGTCCTCGGCTGAGGAGTCCTGTGCGCCTTCCGCGGTACCTGCTGTTGGGCAGTCTGTGTCACACTCCGGAGGCGTATCTATTGGCAGTGGTTTGCTCACTGTTG